CTGAATGTGTTTGTTGGTGGTGGACTCAACATTTCTGATTTCAGATATTGGCTTTGTACGAAAGAGTAATTCAGCATCCCGGTTACCACCAGCACTAAGAGTGCCTACTCGATCCTCAGCTGATGATAGTCTCATGCTTTTGTGATTATTATGCTTGTGATTCAGAACTTAAAACCTACAGATTTTGATCAATCAACCCCATTTAGCATTTTAACAAAAACCCTAAAAAAATCATATCAATGAGAATCAAAACATACACCATTGCAATAGAAAGATCTCATATATACATTTAGTGATTCAAACCAAAATTGTTCAAATTAGAATAAACGAACAAGTCACAAAATCAGCAATCGAGCAATTGCGATGAAATCAATTGCAAGCAAACAGAACTTCAATCACTCCAAACTCTGTGAATAATAAACAATGTAACATGAAAACTACTACACAATCCGTGATTTCTGAAAAAAGAGTTAACAGTTACCATGAAAGCTGCGGCACGATTCCAGATCTAGAGAGGCTTCATCAGATCTGAAATGTCGCGGAGTGGCGGGATGTTTTGTGCTGATTCAGAAGTCCTGATGTTGTTCTTTTTGTTCAATTAGTTTGAAGTCGATTACAGGTTATGGTGATAGCTAGGGTTTCTGGAAATTGGAAGTTAGAACGTGAAGAAGATAGGAAATTGTGATTCAGGGAAGGAGATTGTTTCATCCTATTTTCAGTTCATAGCCGAGGAAGACGAAGAAAAATGAAGACTTATGACATCAGAGGATTGGAAATCCGATTCGAATTGGTTCAATCAAATCGGATAAGAAAATGGTTCCAAACTCTTAATAAACCTAAATCGGTTTTTTAACACACACACACACGTAGGATTGGACATTTGAAACCGAATCGGTAAGTTATTTAAAAATCGATCGAAAAATGAATTCGGTTTGGTTTCAATAATTTTTTATTTTTATATTTTTTGTTTTACTGTTAATCGAGTAAATTTTGGTTTGATTTTAGTTGAACTTTTAAAAAATTAAAACCAAAATTAAGCCCTTGAAAACCAAAAATAGAATAAATATGATAAAATTTGACAAAGTATGATAAAATATGTGATAAAATATAATCTATTATTAGAAAAATAATTGATGAATATTTATTTATCAAAAATCAAAATCAAACTGATTTTATTGATAACCAAACCAATTGGCTTTGTTAAAATTTCAATTTGGTTTTGATTTTCAAAATTGAAAAAAAATTTTGATTATTTTAAAACCAATTTCAATTTTAACCAAAATCGGTTTTGCCCACCCCTACACAGATGTATATGCATATATATATATATATGTTATGTAGTCTAGATTATATAGACCTATATAATTTAAATTAATATATACAACGGTAGTTTAAATTTATGATATGTTGGGTTTGATTAATTTTATTAGCTTATAGCT